ATTTATACCATCCAGGAAATGTCCCTTTGAGGCTTAAACCCAGTTGTTCCATAATGTTTAAAAGAAATAGGCAACCTCTTCAAAGGGAGTGAACGGACTGTGTTCTATTGTAAATGTCGGGCAGTAGTCTAGAGAACCTTGGCAAGCCTGTCTCCATTGACAACTGAACACCAAGGTCGAGCTGTCAGAGGAGAGTTCACAGGGCACTTGGCACTTTGGAAGCTCATGGCTTTGCAGCTTGAGGTGAACGGCTGAAGAAGGAAGTTGATATGTTTGTCCCAGAGTTGTTTTTTCCCCTCTGGGTTTCCTGCGAGGGTTGTGCCTTCCCTGCTCCTGCCAGCTGGGACAAGGCTACCCTGCTGTAGGAAAGCGGGCCTTTGAGGTTTTGAGAATACACTAAAGCCTTTATTGGGTCCTGCTCCCCCCCCGGACAGGAATCAAGCAGAGGTGGCCTGGAACCACATGGCCAGACAGCTGTAGCAGCTGGACCAACGCACAGGGCCTCAAGAGCTGAGCTGCGGCACTGCTTTATTCTGACACAGTCAACAGGGGGCGCTCTGTCTCGATATTAACTGGCAGGCTTGTGTGCCAGCCTGGAGAGGGAAAGGGCTTCTCTGAAGGAGACAGGCGGCACAGCCTCTGACTGCAGGACACCACCCTGGAGAAATCTGTCACAGTCAGGAATAGCTTGTCTGTTTGACACGGTGCGAAAGGCCAGGTCAGAAAAGTCCTTGAGCACAAGCAGAGCTGACCCATTGTTTGAGATTCTTCACAGAGCTGGAAGTCGGGTGAAACGTTTCCCGTTGTTTCTGGGGATCCCCCGCATGAGAACGTCTGCTGTAGGAGCTGCTGCCTGTGAGGAAAAACTACTGACACTGCGCACTGGGAATCAAGACACTGACAGTTTGTGGGAAGACGTTCCGTCTGCTGGGAAACAAGTAAAAAGGGAGACTTTATTTCTACCAGTGGGCCTTGATCCCTGGTGAAGTTTGACACTGGCAGACCTGTCTGTTTTTGGGGATTGAAGACACGGTGTTTGCACACTGCGACCGAGTCGTCGGGTGGCCATGCAGCAGAGTCCTCTTACCTGCAGTAATAAAACTGCGACTCGTTTCATGTCTTCTGGACAATAGAGACCTCTACAGGGAATCTTGTGAAACACAGCAGAGAGAATTCAGGGGGATGTCTCTGGGCTTCACTGTATTCAAAAGGACGCAAGACTGCAGAATGTTGGGCATCGCTTTACACTTATGAACAGTCTCGCCTTTATTTTCAATTGTATTTGTTTTCTGCATCTGGGCCTAAATATGTTGATTACCCTATTAAGTGTTAATAAAAAAAAAGTTCTCAGGCTGACTGCAGTCCATACTGACAAAATCATCCCATTAGATTCCTTCTGATTGAACTATGTGGAAGTGCACTTAACACCAAGAACAGGAGGCACTTCATTACACAAAGGGTGGCGGAGGCATGGAACAAACTTACCAGCACTGTTGTTGAAGCCGATACCCTGATTTGTTTTTTTAAACAAAAACAGCTGAATGACATTCTGGATCAGTTAACTACTGACTACCAAACAAGCTAAATCAGTTGCATGACCTCCTCGATAATCATTCTTCTGTTCATATGAGACTGTAAGAACACGAGTTTGTTTTCCTGCATTGCTGCAACAGGACATTTTCAGTTCGTGTACTATTTCCAGGGCAAACACCCCTGTGCCCTCAATCCTCCTCACTCACCTGAAGTGAGGAAGTCAAATGCAGTTCAAACTGCAAACAAAACCCAAAGTGAGAGTCACTAAATTCGGTCCTCAAGGAAAACAAACTCCCAAATTATCCCTGCGTGCTATCCCATGCTGCTGGTCTGCTCTCACTCTGGAGTCTCGCACTGAAGCTAGACTGGGAAATCTGAGCAGGAATGTCTGTGAGCAGTGGCTTGATTTAGCCCAGGAGAGACGAGGTCACATGCAGAACACTGGAGCATTACGAGCCATCAGAGGGCCACAGGAAAGGCATGGGGCTCCTGCGTCTTTAAATGGCCTCATGACAAGCGGACTCTAATCTGCCTGAGGACTGCATGTCTGCGGTCAAGCTAGCAGCAACTCAAAATAAACAGCGCCAGGCTGTCATAAAAAGAGGACGGCGAAGGAGACGGAGAGGGAGAGGGAGAGGGAGAGGGAGAAGAGGAAGAAGAAAGCTCGCCCCCAGAATCCGGCCTGACCTCTGTCAGCAGTTTTCTGAAGCTCTGGTTGAGACACAGCGGTTCTGTGCCCGACAGAAATGTGACCCGGAGTGGTGAGAGGCAGGGCCCAGACTGCTTCATTCAGAGAGCCCGCGAGTGGAACGATGATGATGTGTTTGAAGTCCTGGCTTATGAGAAATATGAGCGCTTTAATTTCAGCATTGCGAGGGACACCAAGCATTAGGTCAGACAGAGATGCATTGTCGCGGAGACGCACAGGGGAGTGTGGGGAACTGTGGGGAGAGACATCAAAGCCTCTGCCTTTGCTGCAGCTCCTCTTCTTGGAAGAGCTTTTGAACTTTGGCCTTAATTAGACTCCCACTCGAGTGTTTGGACTCGGATCATTTTTATTTATTTATTTATTTTAAATGTTTATTGTTTTTCTTAAAGCATTACTCATGCTCCCAGGCCCCTGTGGTGTAATTCATTCCGTCCTGCGGATTCTCCTGGTTTATGGTTCCCTCTGCGCCCCACACGAAGCCCTGTGTCCTCGGTGTGTCACAGGGAACGGCCCCAGGAGCTGCTGCCCTGCTGCGGCACCCTGTCTCCCTTGCCCAGTTTCTCAAGCTGTGTCCCTGAGGAGACATGTCAGTCCTTGTCATGTCCCGGGGGGGCGTCTGCTTTCACGTGCGTGTGCACGAGGGGCAGGTCCCCCTGCTAATGAGTGAAATCAAGTCAGGGGGCCTCCTCGCCCTCTGGATTGGTCTTTTCTTGTGTTCTTTACGACTAAAGAGGCTCCTTCCGGTGTTTTGCATTTTAACCTTCTCTAGAAGTCTGTCTGTATCTGTCATGGCGTAGAGCTGTCCGCTGACCGTGCCTCTACTGGTTTGTCCTGTGCTGACCAGCCCTCACCATGCTTGAGCATGCTTGTCCCTGTGCTGTGCTGCTCCAGCTGGGCAGGGCTGCGCTCCGCAGGGTCGTGGACTGACAGGCCGGGCCGACCCGCCTGGGGCTGGGGCGTCCACGGCCTGCGCCTAGAAGGCTCACATGTTTCCATCCCGCATGCCAGCTCTTGCAGCCTGTTGTTTTAATTGATTTAATCATGTTTACACACAGACACCCGTTTCTGTGACTGCTGAGTCAGTGGAACCATCTGGTGGGGCTGCATAAACAGCAGTTGGTCTTCAGTCAGAGGGATCTATTTTTAGGTGTCTGGTGAGAGTCATTTGATTATTTTTCAGGATTCTGAGCAATGAAATATTGTCTTTAGTGCTCTGTGGCTGACTCTTGCAAAGGGCACTGTAGCAAATAGGAGATTGAAATAAAAATGACCAGGTTGGCAGAGTGCAGTACCAGCTGAAACCAGCAGAAGGAGCCACAACAAGCTTGACCTCATAAGACATTTTTTTATGATATGAGCATCAATAACAAAGGCTGTAACTGTTGAATGCCCGAATAGTTAACAAGTGTTAAAACCCTTGAGACTACTGCTCAGCCTGTCTTTGTCACTTCTGTCTTGCAGTGACTTTACAGTCCCGTCTGAGACAGAGTCAGTAGGGCAGGGCAGTGCCAGTGGCCCTGGGAAACCCTGGCTGGCACACGTGGCTCAGTGAGCAGGTGACCGGACCAGCAAGTACTGCTGCGGTGAGGATCGATGACGAGTGTGCGGAGCATAGGGAGAAGGTGTGCACACAGGGAGTCTGGAACAGTAGTCCAGGCCTCCGACAGGGAGCTCTGTGCCTGCCTGCCCTGTCTGTCTGTCCCCTGGCTCTGAGGTACAGCTCCCAGTGCTCCGTTCCCCTACCAACATTCCCAGAATGAGACTCACCCTGTCCTCCTTCTCCTGGGCTGAGCTCTTGGTCATAGCCGAACCCTGTAATTGAGCTACATGCTTGATTTTCTGCACCCACTCTTCCTTCCAAGAGCACCCTGCCCCAGACGTGCTGCTCCCAGAATGCCCCACAGACGTGCTGCTCCCAAAATGCCCAAGATGTGCTGTTCCCAGAATGCTCAAGACGTGCTGC